ATAGAGAGAGAGAGAGAGAGAGAGAGAGAGAGAGGTATATAGTTTCAACACTTTTGCATTTGGCTACTGACAATAAAATAAATAACATATAATATGACAGAATATAGTATATCATAAAAAAGTCATATATAAATAAATGATAATGATAAAAAATTAAAATGATTAAAAAGAAAAAAGTGCAGAAATATACAAAGGAAAACAATTGAATGTTTTTATTAAATGTTGAAATGAATACTCCCAGCTATTTGGTATTGGGTACTTCTGGCTGTTGTTTTTTTAAATTATTACTTTTGTATCATAAAGTATAAAAGAGTTTACGAGCCACAGAAGCACATTTTACCCCATCACGCAGTAAAACCCTTCCTGCATGCCTTCGAGTTCCTTCACTGACCTCTCCCAGCAGCACCATCAGCACATTTTTTTTCTTTTTGTTTTTCTTTCTCTTTACTTTGTTGTGCTGTTGCACCCGATTTTAATTACGTTGCTGACACTGTGGCTCACAAATAACCCATGGGAAAATCCAACATCCTCCTGCTCATCAGGTGAGTCAGATTTCCACATAGAAAGACACAGAGCTGACATTCACAGCCCTGCTGTTCCTCATTCCTTGCGTCTAGCAGCGGTCTGTGCTGTGAAAGCAAAGCAGCTGACAAACTGTCCTGTGTACTGTACAGATTTCAGGGGCAAATCCTGTACACTGTATTCACACTGACGCTTGCTTTTGTTTATATTAGACAGTATATGAGTATGTTGTAAAGCTGGTGTAAATAGGGAACAAAGAATGCATTAATGACTTTACTTAGAGCTTGAGACAGCTGTAATGATATAAAATATTTCTGACAAATACTGTGCTTTAATCAGTTCCTTAAAAAGCTGGTCTTAGTTTATTCCAACTTCATTGTAGTAAATAATAAACTAGTCACTACTTGGTTTTTTGATGCTTACAAATGCTAAATAGAGGAAGTTTGACGTTGACCACATGGACTGTACATACAGGGATCATATGCTCTGGCAATTACCATAATTTCCATCATGACAAAATATGATTAATAATGTGGTGCTACTACTTATGTTACGCCACTCATATCAATTAAGGTTACAAAATACCCTGATTTTAATTCCATTTGAACTTTAACCTTCTTTATCCCATTTATCTGCTTTCTTTTCAGCTTTTTTATTTATTTATTTATTTTTACATTATGCTAGTATCATTCAAACACTAAAATATAGTTAATCCTGTCACTCTGTAATTCTTTCATAAACAACAAATTACAATCAAGTTATAATTTACATTTATGCACGGTCAGTATGCATGGAGGGAGTCAGGAAAGAGATCCAACAGTGAGTGTCTACAGCTATCTGTAAAACATGGTGGAGGCTGTGTAATGGTTTGGGTTTGCATTTCAGCCAGTGGTGTTTGATGTCTTGTTACAATCAAAAATAGAGTTGCATTTTCATCCACCGTGTAGTTCCATGTAGGCCTGTACACGTTTCAACAAACTGCTGCACCTATTTCCCATTTCCCTAGCAAAATATAAAGAAATGGGGGCTGACTCTATTACACAGTACTATATGCTGTTTGACAGCATGAAAATGACACATACTAAACTCCAATCAAGTATTTACCAGCTGAAAGAAAATAGGAACTCCATTTGGTGTATACTCTGATTTATTCACGGCATTAGATTAAACCTATTCATGCATTTATAACCTCAACATGATAACATTATGCAAAACCATTAAAAAGGTTAAAATGTTGGTTTAATAATATTAGAATAAGCCGTTCTATCTGATCTATATCAGTTTGACAACATGAGTGTCTACAGACATGCTGTAGCGGTTTAGCCTACACTGTGTGCTAATAGGTTAATACTTGCAGTATTTCTCGGGGACACGCTGGTGCAGTTTGTGGCCAGCATGCTGTGCTCCTAATGTTTGGCAGAAAAGTCTGTATTGTTCACACTTGGACTTCACTCGACCTCTACTGTATGCAGCAGTCAGCAGCTGCTGAGGAAAGAAGAATTTCCACCGAGCGTTAGGACTTTCCAGAGTGGGCGGAGCGACTGTGCAGTGCAGGAAGTACTGAGTCAGCTGTAGTTTCTGTAGTTTTTGAGGTATGTTGGTTGTCAAACACGTTCCTTGCGGTCCCGCATAAAGGGCAGGGAGTCTGCGAGTTTTCTCTGCGAGTTTTCTCTGTGTGCTGAGCGGCAGATACTTCAGCTTCTCCGCGATGAGTCGAGCCGTGCTGGTGGATCTGCTTCACCGCTGCTGTGCATCATGCACGGGCGCTTCTCTGCTGGAGGACTCGGTTTCAGACTCGCAGGTCTTTGTGCTGTGCGGGAACACTTACCGGGAGAAAAACGGCTTCGTAGACACGTTCTTGAGCTCCTGCAAAAGTGTGCACATCCTGGACTCGAGCTCCACAGTGGAGAGTTTGTACCGTTTCAAGCAGACTTTGGACCAGCTGGACCTGAGCTCGATCACGGTCCTCACCACCGCACAGGGCAAAGAGGTGCTGGCTCATTACCAGAACCTCCTTTTTACGGCCCTATACGACTTCCAGTACAAGCAGAGACCGGTGGACGAGACTTGTCCTAGTTGCAGAGCCTCCACAGATTCGGTCTCACCTGGCGAAGAAGTGTGCGAAGAAGTGTCGACGTTTATGCAGCAGCTTCCTGCGCTGAAGGGAGAACTCACAGTTCTGAAGTCTGCGCTCATTCCAGGTCGGCTTAAGCAAAACATACTTATGAGTTTTATGGAGTTATTAAATTACTGTATAGTGAATGGAGTTTGGATTTCTCCTCCTACATCAAGGGTGTCAAACATAAGTCTCGAGGGCCAGAATCGGTCGTACAAAGACTCCAATTTGGGCCATTGAATTATTTTTAAAAATGTGAACGAGTGCATAGATTTTAAACTTTTAGGTGTATTTTTATATATTTTACAGCTTCTCCTGTTGATAAAGATCTCGCCCACTGGTAGTCATACAATAGCAAAGTACGGTAATAAATAAACAAGTAAGGTTCCTGTTAACATTAGTGCACGATATGTGAAATGAAAACAGTTTGACTTCCCCGTCCCACACTAACTATTTGGGAACAGCGTGTTTTCCATTTTCTGTAAATGGGTGTATATTTGAAAGGAAGATAGAATGAGTTTGTCTATCAAAACTTAATATGTCATACATATACTATATATTGATACTATATATTGCACAATAGTAAATTCCAGACTCTTTAATATATGGAGGAAAACCAGTGATTCACTGCTACTTGACTGTTTAATTTTATAATAAAGTCTAATCATTTGATAACCACTTAAACTATAGTGATATATCTATTAGATAAAGAGGAAACTGAGAATGTACCAATACCCAACACCATATACCGTTGGACTCCTTTGTCCATGCAAATATGTCCTAGTGAACTGATAACAGGAGACATACAGTGGTGTGAACAGGTTTTTCACACTGGGCCATGTAGGTTTAATTTTTTCCACCTTAATAATAAACACTTTCATTTATAAATTGTTTACTTGTGTTATCTTTGTCTAGAATTTAAATTTATTTGATTATCTGAAACATTTAAGTGTGACAAACATACAAAAAATAGTTAATCAGGAAGGGGGGAAACACTTTTTCACACAACTGTGCATGAGATCAGCTCATGTTATCATTTAATCCTGACATTTAATGAATTTTCTTATCATTTAGTGCACTGTGTTAAAATTTCTATTAAAGTATAATCTGTTGACAAGATGTTGGTAAATAAATACAAACTGAGCTAGAAGTAGCTTAGCATTCATTTAAATGCTATTAAATGTATTTATTTCAATGTGTTATTTTAGAAAAGCAGTTTACCTTTTTTCTCTCCCTCTTTGTCTCAGATTGTTTTGGTCATGGCTTCAGCACCCGTACAGGTGGTGTGTCCTACATCTCGACCTTATCCTCCTTGAATCTGTTCAGCAGCTGCAGGAGGAGGGACCCAGTGGCTGTGGTAATGGAGAACAGGCGCCGATTAGCCCTCCATGCTGGTTTCCATCCTCAGCCCATGCATTTAGTCAAGGTACTCAACACTATTAGAATTTTGCCCTTTAATGTATTATCTGTATTATGTAAAAAGGGTGTTGGAACATATTTGTAGTAATTAAAGCTAGAGTCTGACCAATTGGCAGCCTGCAATTATCAGCTGATATTAACTGTATGAAAAACGAAAAAGTAAAGAAGAGATTGGAGAAACAACCATGTTATGAATGTTGATGTTGCAAGACTTGTCCACCAGAGGGCATCCTGCAACGTCCACATTCCAAACAACAAACAACCAGCTGATCCAAGCTGGCAGACAGAGCGCAAATGAGCAATAAATAGCTCCGTGTAACTGACATAGAGAAACCTGTTTGGATTCTATGTGTCTGAAAGAAAAACAAATATTATATTGGAATATCGGATTTTTAAATCACCAAATATCAGACTTAAAATATCGGCTCAGCCGCACCTTAAAGTGCGAGTAGCATGTATAAAAATATATCATCTTGCATATATTAAGGTGCAAGTTTTACATATTTAATTCTGGATGCACATCTGTTTGATATAATCTTTTGTTTTTAATATTCACCAACGTATTTCACATGTTAACAAACTAAAGCAAACGAGCATTCACAGTCAAAGAAAATGAATATGCAACAGTAACAAATAATTAACAGATTACACTCATTTTTTATTTTTAGTTGTTTTTGTTTTTTTGTTTTCCAACTTCGGGACAGTTTTGTTCTGACCTCAGTGCTGAGGGTCAGTGATGTGAGATCAGTGTTTTGTTAAAGGACTGTCGGCTTGTTTTCTGAAGGTGAACCACGCTAACGATGTCTGGGTCTTGGGGAAAGCTGAGCCCGAGAGTTACGATGCAATGGTGACCAATCAGACTGGGCTCGTCTTAGCAGCTCCAGGGGCCGACTGCATGCCGCTCCTCTTTGCTGATCCCGTCGCAAAAGTTATCGGAGTCGCACATGCAGGTCAGCCCTCACTGCTTCTCAAAGTTTTGACCACTGACTGCTAATTTAGGGAACCATCATCTCATTGGGGGCCAATCAAGAAAAAAAATGCACATCAGAACTATTAGTTAGTGTTTTTAATATGTCTATGTGTGTGAAAGAGAAACTTGAGTAGAGGAACTTAAGAAGACTTTGCAGAAAGCACACACTTCAACATTCTTTGGAATCAAAGTAAATTCTTTCAGTGTTAATTATTCTATAGACTCTTTATATAATTTGTTTTAGCCTTTGGTGCCCCCTAGAGGATTTATTTATTCAAGCTAAAACCAAACAGTTGAAGAGAGCGTGCAAAAGAGGCTGCAGTGGTACAACTTTACAATATGAACTCTGACGATGAAATGGCTACATTTACAGGTTGGAGAGGAACCATAATGGGGGTTGCCATGGCCACTGTGAATGCCATGGTGACAGAATTTGCTTGCCAAGTTAGCAACATTGTGGTGGCTGTGGGACCATCAGTGGGACCCTGCTGCTATACCATGGAAAGAGACCAGGCGTTGGACTTCATGAGCATCCATCCAGACTGTGTTCCTGATCCAGAATCAGCCAGACCACACGTCGACATCCGTCTCGCCAACAGGTACGGCTCACGAAACGAGAACAATAGATTAAATAGAGCTGACAAAAGTACAGAATCTCTGTGAACAAGGAAAAGAAAATAGCTCTATATTCTGTTGCCTACATTGTAGAGGGAGTCTTGGTCTGTAATGAAGAGAATGAATAGGGAAGAGGTTAAAGTGGGATTCAGCAGGTGGGGATCCCTAAAACCAATTGCAAGGTCGTAGTGTGGAGAAATGAATCACAACTCAAAATAATTTCTCTTAAGAGCTTCAGTAGATTTTCTTAAATTTCCAGTTTATCACCACTGAGCAATCTTTACCTTTAAATCTAAGCTCTCTCCTTCCTCTCCTGTCCTGTATTTCTTATCTTTCTCCATCTGTGAGTGAAGTTAGCCCTCTTTCTTTTCACTCTCTGTAAAATACAGCAGCCGGACCTTTAACACACATTGTGTGACAAACTGCACACAAACACATTGTGTGTGTTTCGCTGATAGAAACGCTGCATTTGAAATTACCTGCCACTTTTTAAAAAAATTACTCGAGTAAAGAACAGATAACTGGAAATTCTACTTAAGTACAGTAATGAAGTATTTCTACGTTATTACTTCCCACCTCTAAGATTAACCAATGAGGGAAAACTGATTGTTGCAGAGCAAGAAACAAATTTAGGATTTATTGTGGATGTTGATCGGCATTCACATAAAATTTATATTTTCTTACTAAGGTCATAAAAGCATTCTGAAGATGCCCTTTTCATTTGAGTCTGGCTCAAATTTAACCTGAATTTCAGAAAATGTTCACGATACAAATTCAAAGTGTATTTAAACAGACTAAACAGACTAGTGGATGCACTGACTACCCAGATTCTATTTTTAAGAGATGTTCCAAGATGTACCAGTCTCGTTCTTTGAAGATGTAAAAGGTAACTGTGGCAGCCACTCAGTGATGACTCAGACTTGAACTTAAATACATCTCAGAGGAAATCATAGCTGAGTGAATTCTCCAAGTTCACTTTCATTCTGTCACTAGTGTTAGAGTGTGTTATATTTATTATGGAGTTAATCAATAAGATCAAGTAAGAGCTTCGGTTTAAGATTAAGGGTCTTCTTGCATTTACCCATTCTGGGTTGTCTGGAGAGGAGGTAAGAGGAGAGAAAGGAGGTCCTTGTTTAAATTTTCAGCCATTACTATTTGAGTATGTGTTGGAAATAGTACACTGAAGCTTTAAGGTCTTTAATATTGAATTCATATATGGGATTTGTTTTTCGCTCAGCTGTGAACCAAACAATATGTCTAATTTCCCATCCCAGAGTTCTCCTCCAGAAAGGTGGCGTCCTGCCCGAGCACATCCATGACAACACGATGACGCACTGGTCCTGCGTGACGCCCTGCACCTCATGTCACCCTGAAAACTACTTCTCCCATGTCAGAGATGGGCTTAACTTTGGCACACAGGTGGGCTTCCTGTGGATCAAACAAACGAATGAATGAATGAGTGTTTAGCACACTTACCTCATATTGTTGTCAGCTAAAGCTCCACAAAGTCAATGTGCTTTTTTGGTAAAATTACGTGGTATAAAAAATGTTAAAAGCAGCAGACAGGAAATAGCTAAAAACCAATTGTTTGCTAATTTACTGTTTGATATTTACAGCTTTAAGGATAATTTTGCATGTCCCACAGATTCTAATCTTCAAATAAACTAGAGGATTAAAGTTACAATGTGCAAAATCTCAATACTAGATGTCAGTACATAGCAGACTGCATTCAACTGAGTTCTGTTTTCGTACCGCTCCCAATTCAAATGCACAATCCTAGCTAAGGTGGCTTCCATGCATCTGTAGTGAGTGCAGGCTGTCAGTCCACTGTTCACCTCAGCAGTAGCAATATGTATTGACATCTATGGACTCTAGAGGGAAACTGCAAAACTTTGTGGCTGAGTCCAATATGAGTCAGTGAAGCTCATTTCTGTCTGACAACGATACTGCAGTGTTGTTGAGGATATCGAACTTTTTGTCATTAAACACTGCCCTTTAGTAACACTTTCTTTGAAGTGGAGCTAACTTTGTTGGATTCAGAGTCTTAGCGATTAAACTCTCATACGATGTGAGAATGTAATCAAATTGTTTATCGGAGGGAAAATGTGATTTTTAGGACACTTGAGTCTAACATTAGCTAATATAGCATTAGCTTATTGCTGTTGTGTTTTAGCCAGCTCATTGTTAGCTGTCTGGAGGCCGTAGAGTCGCATGTCTAATCTGCCATCAATAAGTAATTATAATGATATCAGGAAGAAATGAACATGTTTATGCACATTTTCGTGTGTTAGAGCTCTGACTTCAGCTCAGTAGGTTCCGCTGAGGAGAAAGAGGATGACACTTGATCCAGGTATCACCTTCCCTCGCATTTTCGCTTCTTTAATGAAAACAACCACTTCTCAGATGATAAAACATGGGTATGATCATATCTTGAGTCTGTAGGTGCAGACACAAATTAATATTTTACTAAGCTAAATTATTACTATTTTATTTTTTTAAATTTCACTAACTTTCAGGGATTTCTCACTTGAACAAACATGTTTTATAGCTCGTAAGATTTTTGGGGGTGAATCTAACTCTGCAGGCAATTATTTCTATATTGTCGGAAACAGCATAGGAATACTGGACTGATACAGTTTGTCCAAACATGTATATTTGGATAGTTTACCTGTATTGTGGGTCCAATGTACCAAGCAAACTACCCACTAGCCAGTAAGCATTCATCTAGCGGCTCTAATCTGTCTCTCTTAATTCCAACCTGAGCCAACAGAATTATTTAGAGAATGAATTGGTGGGTTTAAATACTTGGATAACACCTGGAACAAATAGACCTTTTTCTTTTTATTCTTGTACTGAAAATCTTGAGAGATGGTTTTTAATGGCATTTAACTTTAGTCAGAGACGTACAGCATAATATTACTCAGTGATATAAGATTTAAGACAGAACACACATACCTTAAAGGAGTGAGGCTCTGAGCGGTGAGGCCATTCAATTTCTCTTGGTGAATGACTGTAAAAATCTGTACAGCATATTTTACGTTGATATTTCTCTTCCTGGATTGTAAAGCATGGTAATTTTAGTGTTCAATAAACTTTCAGTCCAATGACCGGCTACGTGGGTTTTATTAATTAACTGAATGACAGATAGCAGTTGGGTTCATCAGAGTTCAAATCTGTCACATTTTACAGTAGAATATCCAGGCGATAGATGGGTCATTCCATGAAAACCAACCAACTGCACCAGTTTAATGTTTCTGATGGAGAGGAACAGAAACAACCATTAGTTTGATCTGTTATCTGATTATTCTGTGGAAAAAAAAGAACTTTTGAGTCCAACTTTTAAAGGATTTCATCACCATGTGAGATAAGTCAGAACAAGTTATGCCAAATAGGAATTTTTTTTTTTTTTTTTAACCTAGTGTTTGATATTCCCACTATAGCCTTAATTCCTTCTCTGTCAAAAATAATTTTCCAGTAATCTACAATCCTGTTTAATTCTGTGGCTGTTAGGTGGAGACACTGGTTGATTTTACATATCAGTTTCAGTTCCAAACTTTTAGGAGCATTAAACTTTCTGTTGTTTGATTTAATATAATGAATAAATGTAATTTTATTAAGCATGACAGACACCGACATCTTCAGGGATACAGACAGTTTTTATTCTGAGACAAAAGTCTTGATTTGTCTTACAAAGCAGCCCTTTTCCTAAAAAATAAAATAAATATAACAAAGATCATTTTAGTAACACAAAGTGTCTCACTGAAAAGATCGGCTGTTTTCTCAACAGCCTCATCACTGCATAAAATTAACTGGAAACAGAAGCATCACATTTCTGCGTGTTTCACCAACACTGACGTGGGATCTGATTTTTTTCTTCCCCCCTCAACTTAGTGCAAGTTCAGTCATCACATTGAACAGTAATTTCAAACAAGTAAAAGCAAATCACAAACTCTTACAGTTCAGTCAGTTTTAGCTGAAATTCACTTTTAACATGATCAAAGTAAACTGAGGTCAGGTCTGCACAGGACTAACACCAACGACACAAACTCTACAGCGCATGACTCGAAACACTTACATCATATAAATCATGTTCCCGGACACATTACTGACAGAGTTATCAATTAAAACATTCTTACACAACACAGACACACATGCATGACCGACCTGGTGGCAAACGTCATTTGTGGGCTTCAGATAAATAAAACCTCTCCTGGCATCAGCTTTCAAACAGAGACATCCCCGCACATTAAGGCCAGTTCTTTTAGTGCAAACACAGAAATGCAAAGTCAGTCTTAAATGAATGTAATGAGCTCCATTAGTCGAGGAAATGAGCCAGATTATTAACATCAATCACTAAACCAAGTTGTTTAATGTTAGATTATATTTTCTTTGAGTGCTGAATTATTTTCTTTTCATTACGGTCCGAAAATTATTTTGTACCCACGCTACTAACTTAAATTTATGTGCAAGTCACACAGTTTCTTTGCAATTTTAATTTGCATCTCATTTCAAAACATTTTCAGGGCTTTCATGGTCACGTTTCCACTATTGGAGACATTTAGCATGCTCATGTGCTTATTTTGCATCTGTGTGTGTTGATTTTATAGGTTTTTGTTTTCTATGGAAGGTCATTTTTGTGTCTTTATTGTTCTTCTCTCCTCACTGAACTGGTAGAATTGTGTCTCAACGTACTTTTTAAGGTAATCAAAAATTTGTTAATAATAAGTTTGTTAATAATTTTGTGTCATTTTGAGTTTGTTTTGTGTCTTTGTTTGTTTTTGCATAAATAAGAGCAAAACATTGCAGATTCATTGGAAAAAAGGAGCGAATCATTATTTCAGACATTCATTCTCCACACCACTCTCCACCACAAAAAACAAACAAACAGAAATTCGCACTTTTATCCTAAAGCATTGCCATTGTGGCTTCAGAGGCTGTTCTCAATTGGCTCATGCAAAAGAGTTTAATGAACCACAAATGTAGGAGCCCTTCTTACTCTGGGCCATAAACTGAAAACAATCGCTAATCCAACAAATGTATGAACTGCTGAGAGAAAGAGTGCCCGTCATTACAGAAACAAAGAGCCAAACATTATAATCTGTATTTAAACAGTGAAAGTGTTTCCATAGCAGGTTTATGATTTTAAGCACCACTGGATTCCTGCCAAATCTTAGTTTAGCTCATTGCATCACCACCTAAGCCGGGAACTGTAAACAGGCCATTTGGTTTGTAATTTTTGGCCAATAATTAACAGAAATAAGCAGTCACGTAATTTTAAGACCAATGGAACGAGGACAAATCCAGTCTTGGTTTTGAACTCAGGAGGAAATTTGAGAGCTTTGTGCTTTTGAAATGTCAGTGGACTCATTTGCGGAAACGTTGCTGGGTTTTGGCCCTGCTGAGGACACAATGAAATGAAACCTGTGGGAAACATTTTTTAGATATTACTCCTCAGTAAAGACCTTCCACCATTTAATCTCCAACCTATTAGCCTTTAAGTGGCTGCAGCAGCAGACTTGGCAATCTGAGTTTTTAAGGTGTTAATCTGAGTTGACTGATTATCAAAAAAAAAAAAACACATAATTCAATTGACTTTTACAACAAATAAATTCCTATACATTTATGAGGTTGGAAAATAATTCTAGTAAAGTGAATGTACAACATCGTCATCAGCAAAACTTCTACTTGCAAAAAGCAAAGGCCTTGACTGCTCACGTGTGCCCCCCCCAACCCATCACAGCAACTTCTGCAATTTCATACTATGGACTTGTCATTGACCCCAGCTCCTCTTCCCAGACTGTGGAGAACATTTTCCACGTGTCTTTTCTGATCAGAGTAAGGCTTTAGTGCCTCCTGGTGACTGTAAGCAGGCGTGACAGTTTCATTCGCAGAAATGGCTTATGTATAAAAGAGGTTAATAGTTGTTCCAGCAGTTAAAATGTATTGCTTTTACATTTCTGTGTACCACATAGTGAAGGTATGTTTTATCTGGTGTATGAGGCATGTTTATCTTAGCACAAAGAACAATATTTTGTTGCACCGCTATTATCGCAAGGTTTGGGTGTGATCATATAGGCTGTGACGCCATGCCAAAGGATTTCAGTGAGCCATTTGCAGAAGTCTGGTTTTTCTACTATCTGTACAAGGTATTTTTTTATAATTGTGTGTCTGTCCAACTAATCAGAGAGCTCCTTACATCCCACAGTGTGGCTAATTTGCATTGCAGCAGGATTATTAAAATGAAGTTGCTAATCCAATAGTTAATCCGTGAGCTAATCTGTGAGAAAACAGGAAAGAGAACTGGATTTTAAAATGAGGAGTGGGCTCGTCATATTAAATTGTATTTTTAAAAAACATTTTGAAAATCTCTTTTTTAATGTGGAATTCAAAAATGAATTTACAAATGCAGAATTTATTCTACAATTCATTATTTAAGCACAGAACACTTTATTTCGATGCGCATGGCTCTTGTGGTCCTCCATACCAAGGAACTTGAAAAACTCCACAGTAGATACTGGGCTGTCTGATGTGGTGGGGGGGAGCAGTGTTGATGGATGTCTCCTGAGGTCCACTGTCATCTTGTCTTAAGCCTGTTCAGCTCCAGGTTGTGCTGACTGCACCAGACTACCAGCCACTCAACTTCCTGCCGGTATGCAGACTCATCACCATCCTGAATGAGGCCAGTGACGGTGGTGTCATCTGCAAACTCTTTAGCCTGCAGCCCTTCCAGTAATGCTGGTCTTTTAGTAATTACCAGTGTATGCTCATTGTCAGCAGGCTCACTGTCAAAAGGCTCATTGTCAACCATGAGGTGCATGGTATTGTGTCGTTTGGCAGCTTAAATATGTGTTTTGCGACACTAACACTGGGCATTAACTGTTTTTTGTGCTTTGCAAAGTAAAAAGGAAACTGACTGTTACTCCACAGAGCACACCAGAAAGTCCTCAAATAATGGACAACAGTTCTTCCCCAGAGCCCCTTCCACAGCTGTCAAGCACCTCTACCCTCCAAAAAAATATCTAGGGTGAAGCAAGAAGGCAAGGACAAAGAGGATTTGAGGGCAGTCTCTGATACCAAGGCTGATCTAAGCATGGACAAAAATGTAGAAAATAATAATCTGTTGGGGGCTTCCCATTATGCATGATGCGTGAGGAATGTTTCCTCTTCATTATTGTAGGGTCTTTCCCTTACTGCAGAAAGTGCCTTGTGGTGACTGTTGTTGTATTTATATAGGTAACATTTAATTGTCTGAAGAGTGCTTCTAAGAAAGTGACTTCAAGATATATTATTATATTATTATATTATATTCAGTTTCAGAACTTTAAAGTCACTTCAACTTTATCTTAACTCAGCTCTTCACATCTCAATGCAAAATGCCCACTGGTGACCATTTACAACTTGAACAATTATCAGTGTGTTTAAGCTGACTTTGACAGTAACATAAATTAACCTAAATTAAACCAAATTTAGGTTCATTTAATTTAACCTAAATTAAATATAGATGAGTAGTAACGTGTTAAAAGTAACATGTTACTGTAATCCGATTGCTTTTTTCAAGTAACAAGTAAATTACAATTGCAAAAAAGAAATTAGATTACTGTTACTTTCCCATAAGCACGCTGCGTTACTGCATTACTAAACTGTGATTTTGTTTGTGAGACTGTCTCATGACAATGACGTACGAGTGTGCAACATCCCTGACAGCACCAAATGTGTTTAGATCAACAATTGATAATATGGAGTGCGGAGAGAGTACGACCATGCAGCGTTTAAAGAATGGAAGTACGGGCATTACTTTGAGTTTGATTCCATAAAAAGTGACAATGAAAAATTACGCTGCCACAGGAATGTGAAATTCTCAGAGAAACCCCTGGACCCCCCCAATGACGTGACCACTGCAGCACCAGGCAAACCTCCACCGGCCCCATTCCTGTTAAACAGGTGAAAACAGACTTAAGAATGACAGGACTTGGTGCAGCTGAATCTTCGATTTTATTTATTTATTGCTGTTTTCCTTGAAAGAGTGAGGGTAAACACAAAAGTTTTTTTATTTTATATGCTGTAATATGCAGAAAATAGGTTTAAATATTAAACAAATTTCTTCAGGTCAGAGCATATAATTAAATTTTTGCTTGATGCAATGTGCATGAAGTTAAAAGATTAAAACTAATAAAAGATGTTTTAAAAATAGACTTATTCATTTGATTACATTTTATATGATATCATTTATATTGCTTTATAACATATTCAAGTTGTGTATCATGTTTTTTTTTAAAAATGGCTAAGTAATAAAGTAACTAATTACTTTTGAAAATAAGTAATCAGTAAAATAAAGTAACTGGATTACTTTCTTGGAGATGTAATCACTAATTAGTAACTAATTATTATTTTCAAGTAATTTTACCAACACAGAATAACACATTTCATTGTTTACAGACATATTGTGGATAACACTTTATAGGGACAGATCAGCTCAGAGTATCGCCATACAGGCTTGTCCTTTGAATGGGCTCCTTGAAAACACATGAAATTCCAACACGAACACGCTTTCGGCTCATAAAACACGCCCACGCTTCCTTAACCAGCGAGGCGTCAGACGTAACCAGTGACGTCACGTGCGCGTGGAGAAGGTAGCTGGATTTCTTAAAACGCGACGCGCGCTCGGCGCAGGACGTCCCGCCACTGCAGATCGACCAATAGAAGCCGGAGTTACTATCCCGACTAGTTTAAAGTTGCAGGAAGACTACTAATGTTTACACTCGATACGCATTACACGCCAGTCCTGCGTTGTGTGCGCTGTTGTCGTGCTGAACGTTTTACTTGCAGAAATGGCCTCCGAAAACAAATCGTGCAAGAATGAGGACGTGCTGGAGATCGTTTCGAAAGATAGTGAGGTAGAGTTGTGTGTTGAAGATTCTTCGTCAGATGACGAAGATCTCATCCAGGTAGACAAAGAAAATAGCAGCGATTCGGGCTACGAAATACTGCTGCCCCAAAGGTATGCAAGCTCAGGTTTATTGGTGAATGCTTTTTATCTTTTTGTCTTGGTGCACGGTCAGTCATCCAGTGTGGAAATCCCAGAAAGTGGATTCTGTTCATTTGGACATCGCGTTTTCAGTGGGAGAAAAGTTTCATTACTCATCCCAGTAACTTGAATTGAATTTCCCCAACCTTATCAACAGTACATTTGATAGTGGCTGAAACTAGCACCACTGACTTACAATGCGCTGTGAGGTCAGTTTCTTGACCATTAATATGCAAATTGTCAGGACCATTAATCAATGATCATGAGTATCATTCACAGAGAACTGGGGAAAGGCTGCAAACACAGGAAGTGAAAGAGGCTAATTGCACCCGCGTTATAATCAATCTAGTCACTTTTGGCCAATTAAACTATTGTATGGAACTGTGATGTCATATTTCTTACAATTTCTGCTCCCCTCTTGGCAAGATCTGTCTTGGCAACAGAGGCAGAGGCAGACATTTGATACACCCAGGGCTTAGAGTTTTGTTCAAAAAAGAATGACTTCATATAGGGAAAATATATATATCACATCTGCAGGACACCTTAAACTAGTTTTTTAATTAAGCAGCAAGGCAGAACAAAGTCGGGGCTGTATCAAGACACGAGGACTAAACCCCAATTCAACCAGACCCAGAACTGATCCGGAATTAAAACAGGACTACAACAGTTCAAAATCAGGACTACTCAGGACTTAACCAAGACAGAACCAGAATCAAATCTAGATGACAGTAGCACTAAAAATCATCATAGACCTGCACTACACTTATTTTTTAATTCTACCAAAGTCCACTATTTAGATTGAGAAAAGTTTATATAATTATTTAGCCTTGTTGTGCAAACAAGCCTGCAAAACTTAATAAATATAGAATTTGAAAAATAACAAACTTAAAAAGAAACACTAGGTACGAGATACATGAGAACCTATGATACGGTGATACTTTTGGTAAACAACCATTTGACTAACATGTGTGTCTCACCTGCTCTTGTTCATCTCTGTTCCTCTCTCTCCCTCTCTCCTCCTCTCTCTCTCCCCCTCTCCTCCATCTCCCTCTCTGTTCCTCTCTCTCCCTCTTTGTGCTGACAATCATCAAATATACAGTTGAAACCAGATATTTACAAACTCTTCAGATAAAAACACAAACACTTTTTTTAATTGTAACATCAAATCAGACTAAATGTTTATTTTTTTTAGGTTGATAAATATAAAAAACATATTTGTTAACTTTAAGAGTAAAGAGAGAAACTATCTGTATTTCTTAATTGCAAATGGCATCAAATTGTATTCAAAATTGAGCCACACTTATGGAGCTCCACAATTCTTTTCCTGGTGTTTTGGTTGACATCTCTTGATTTTCCCATTTCAAAGAAACAGACTCTGTGTTTTGCCTTATATGCATCCACAGCTGTGCCACCAATTTACTCACATGGACTCTACTAACCTATCAGAAGCTTCTTCAGCTCAGAATGGAATCGTCTGGAGTTTTCTTATTAATTAACAATAAACTTAGTGTAGATGTACTCCTAAATTTGATCAAAGTGATAAAAAAATAGACGGCTCTCTTTATTCTGACATTTAACTAATTCAAAATATATTTCAATATTTATTTATCCAAAACAAAACAAGTTTACTCTAAATTGATGTTGTACAGTAAAAAAATGCTCTTGTGTTTTCCATAAAGTGTATGTAAGTATCTGGTTTAAACTGTGAATATCCTGCTGTGTGTTGAAGTTCCTCTTGTTTTGCATAGAAATATACTGAACAACATACAAAGCATAATATATAAAATAACATCAATCAGAGTTTTTTATTTGAAAGAAGCCCCTTATGTCCATTCTTGTACATTACTGAAACTGATTTATTTAGCCGTGGAGGGAAACAACTGAAAATATGAAATAAACACACATGTAAGCTAAGACTCTCTAAAGAAACAGCATTGTTGTTGTTCGGCTTTTCATTTCGCCATTTGTTGATTCACTCGAAGAGCAAGTAACGTAATATGGGTCAAGTGATCAGTTTGATATCAATCTTTCGTGATTCACCGTCATATTTACATTATTTGTACAGTACGAATGATTTGCTTTGGTACCTGCTCAAACTTCAGTTCTCCTCTGTCTGCCTGGCTCCAACAACAGCGCACTCGCAGGCAGCAGCTCCCCCCGCCCCCTCGCTCAGTCGCTTAGTGTCTGAGCTCGGATCATACCAATATTACACAGTGTGCACTATGTGCTTCGAATATTGTGTGTAGTTTTTTGTTTTATACAGTTGTCAGCCAGGCATGTAACTATGAAAACTCCACGTCTAGAAGAATCTAATCAACTTTTTGACCTTTATGTTTGTTTCATTAGTGATGATGACGACTATGAGCCCCTAAGTCCCTCATCCCCTGCACAGCCGTCAGAGCCATATCATTCCCAAGCCACACAATCTACCTCAGCTCCTACTGTCCCCCAGTTGCCTGAAAGGTATGTAATCTTAATTTTACTACTCCTTATAAAGTTAAGTTTTTCATAGATTTTGAATAAGTATTCTTTATTTACCACAGCAGCAACAATGATGACTATGAACAACCTCTGCAAAGCCCGGCCAAAAGAAAAGCTCAATTGAAGCCTGCTAAGTCTAAGGCTCAGAAGAGTGGGCCTCCTGAACAGGAAGAAATGTGGCATAACAAAAAGGAGGAGGACAGAAATCCTGAACCCTTCAAGTTTATGCCCTCCAGGGTACCTGGTCCTACATTTAACAAGACGGCATCATGGTCTCCACTTTCGCTCTTCCAGCTTTTCTTTAGTGTACCTGTTGTACAGACAATCATTCAAAATACCAATGCCAATGCTGCGAGAAGGAAGGCAGCTGGTGTAAAGTTTCAATGGACTGATCTGACAGTGAAAGACTTTTACGTCTTCTTGGCTATTATTGTTTTCACAGGCCTTGTAAGTGTACACCACAGAGCTGACTACTGGAAAAGAGAATGGCCATACAATTTTCACTTCCCCCAAGAATATATGTCCAGGAACCGTTTTGAGGCCATCGTGTGGTCATTGCACCTCTCCAACCTGAAAGACGACAAGGAAAACCAAAAAAAAAGAAACACCCCACAGTACGATCGGCTTTTCAAAATCAAGCCGCTCTACGACCAAATCGTGAATGCCTGCAAAGCAAATTTCCAGCCTTACGAAAACATCTGCATAGATGAGAGGATGGTGGCATCTAAGGCTAGAATTAGCGTCAAGCAGTATATGAAGGCGAAGCCCACAAAGCGGGGATACAAGCTGTTTGTTCTGGCTGATTCAGCATCGGGTTACACATGGAACTTTTCTGTCTACACAGGGAAGAGTGAAAGCAGCATAAGCCATGGTCTGAGCTACTCAGCCGTTTTAGATCTTCTGCCATTTTCTTTGCTTGGTCGGGGCTACACTTTATATTTGGATCATTTTTATACCAGTCCTGCGCTGTTCCAATATCTGCATAAGAATTGCTTTGGCTGCTGCGGAACCATTAAAAAAACCCAGAGTGACTTTCCCCGCACAGAAAAAAATGACTTTCCTAAAAGAGCTGAGAGGGGAGATATGCGCTGGATTAGAAAAGATGAAGTGCTCTTTGTCAAGTGGATTGAGACTCGGGAGATAACGATGTGCTCCACAGTGCACAGGGCCTTCAGTGGAAAGACTGTGCAGCGTAGAGTGAAGGAGGCCGGGGTGTGGTCGGCAAAGCAAATACCTGTTCCTGATGCAGTGCTGGATTATAATAAGAACATGCATGGTGTTGATTTATCTGATGCTCTCATTGGTTATTACAGTGTTCAACAAAAAACAAAGAAGTGGTATAAGACTTTTTTTTATCACTTCGTGGACATTGCCATTGTGAACAGTTTTATTTTGCACAAGGAGATATGCAGGAGCCAGGGTCAGGAGCCGGTAACTCAGAAAAAGTTCTGGGAGCACCTTGCTGTGGAAATGCTGTCTTTTGCTGTAGGCTCAGCACCAGCAGCACCATCGCCCACACTCACCTGCATGCCGCGTTATTACGGCAGCGATGCTACACAATCCAGGAGGTACTGCAGGAGGTGCCTGGATGCTGGCATCCCAAGGGTGAAAACACCTATTTATTGTAGGGCTTGCAATGTCCCCCTGTGCCTCACGTCAAAAAAAAACTGTTTTGAGCGCTGGCATGATAAGCAGGAATATTTATCAAGTGTAAATGTGCACTGATGGCTTGCTTCCGCTCTTGTAATGAAACCTAGAATTTCAAGAAATACTCAAATCATTTTGAGGATGTCATTATTTATTTATTTTTGTTAATCAAGAACCTCACCTAATGTCAACTTTTGTCCATGTATTACAGAACAATATGAGCAGAGAAAAATCCCTGTAACGGGCACCTTATGCATCTGATTTGGAGTTCTACACAAAATGTTTTGCCATTTCTAATAGCCCGAGTATAGGTTTAAATACGACACCCAGAATAGGATCACAAAGAATAAAGTCTTTATTATACACTTAGGAGAATCCGTTCAGAATTGTATAGAGCTGTGGAAAAGTGTACCTCAGGACGGTCAATCCAGCACTCTCACAGGAGTCACAATATTTTATGTTTTTATACACTGTCAACCTACAGTGCTGGGCTGTGGGCTGAAGTCAGATTCGTATTTAACTTGATTAGGATACGTATTAAATTTATATCCTTAATATATATCCTGAAAAGCCTATAAATGGATGTCCTTATACTGGCATTAGGCTCCTTCTAGCTGCAGGCTTCAATCATTGCATTCTTTTATTTTTATCAATTGAGTAGCAAAATCTGTCATTCTCCCTGGCATCCCTCATCCTCCACAGCTAACCAGGCTGTCAGTAGTGGCTCTTATACAAGAAACCTACATTAGGTGATCTGTGCCATCCCTGAGCAGAGCAGTTTTCACTAAAAAAAGTTCATTTTTTTCTGTCCTTGCAGTATACTGTACTATATTCAGCTACAGTAGAAGTGATTCAGATGAACTCAGTCATGGTACGCACCTGGTGTAACGGCTAAATGTAACGAAGCACGTTGAGTAGGTGAAAGGATGGTTCCACAGTGTGCGGCATCAACTGTCAAACATGGAGGAGGAAGCGTGATGGTCTGGGGCTGTTTCGCTTGGATCCAGGGTTGGTGACTTGTACAGAGGGAGAGGCACCCTACTACAGCATTCTGCAGCACCATGCAATACCCTCTGAGTTGCGCTTAGTTGGTCAGGGGTTCATTCTGCTGCAAGATAACGACCAAAAACATAAGTCCAAGCTATGTCGGAACTACCTCAGGAAAAAAAAGAACAAGATAGTAAGCTTGAAAACATGGAGTGGCCAGCGCAGTCTCCAGACTTAAATCTCATTGAGCTGGTTTGGGATGAAATGGACAGAAGATTGAAAGCAAAGCAACCTACAAATGTCACACATTTATGGGAACTTCCACAGATATGGGAAGAACTTTCTGAAGAATATTTGATTTCTAATGTAGAAAGAATGCAACGGATATGTTCAGCTGTTATATCTGCAAACGGGCACTTCTCGTCCCACCTGCAAGAGAATTTTAGAAAACCTTGGTGTTTTCCCAGACAGCTCTTTTAAACTCGAGAAACACATCTCAGCTGTGGCGAAAAACAGTTTCTAGCAGCTGCGTCAGATATCTAAAGCAAAGCCATACCTCCCTTTGAAGGATCTTGAAAAGCTCATTCACACTCTTATCACTTCCACGTTAGACTACTGTAATTCTCTCTACTCGGGCCTCCCATCTTCCTCTATTCACCGGCTCCAGTTAGTTCAAAACACAGCTGCATGTCTCTTTACTGGTACTAGAAATTATGCCCACATCACACCAGTTTTAGCCAACCTACATTGGCTCCCTGTTGATTATCGTATCAATTTCAAAATTCTTTTGCTTACCTTTAAAATTTTTAATAATTTGGCTCCCAGCTATCTATGCGAACTCCTTCATTTGTATATCCCTTATAAGGTACTTAGATCTTCCAATCGAATGCCCCTGATGCAACCGAGGTCTCGTCTGAAGTCCAGAGGTGATCGGGCCTTTGCTGTCGTAGCTCCCAGACTCTGGAATAACCTCCCTCCTTATATTTGTTCCTCCGACTCCATCAAGTCTTTTAAATTGCATCTTAAAACGTATTATTTTAGTCTGGCTTTTGATTCAAATTAGTATGTTATTTCATGGCTAGTTTTTGTTTCAAACAATTGTCATGTTGTTTCCTGCCCTCCTTTTAACTGTTTCTTTTTATTCTGTCTTATGCTATTGTTCTGACCGACTGTGAAGCACTTTGGTCAACTTTGTTGTATTATTATGTGATATAGAAATACATTTTGATTTGATTTTTTGATTTGATTTGAAGAGAATGACAGTCTATTTGTCTCTTTCCTATTTGGTGTGAACAACCCCTTCGGTAAGCTTTTTGATAATAGTGGAGATTGCTTTTGAAAATGCAAAGTATGAGAGTCACAACTCTAACAGAAAAGGAAACAGAGAAAAGCCATGCTGGTAGGAGCTACTCTCCTGAGCTAAGGTTAGTCACATGGGGCATGGATACAGCTGAACCCACCCAACATGAATATCCTGAAAGAACTTTGTGACTTTAGAAAAGATAACAACGAATAATATGCGGATATTAAACGTGACTTGAGAAGAGTTGATGCTAGAGTGGAAGAGGCAGAGGGGTGAATCATAGAGACTGAGAAGGTGCTACAGGTGGTGTCATTGTTCATTAAGAGGCTAACAGCGTCAAACTAGACCTGCTCGAGCAGGAAGGCCGAGTATGCAGAGACAACCTTCGGATATATGGAATATGTGACGATGAAGAAGGGTCCAACATGATTACATTTTTGTACAATTTATTGAAAAAACTCGCTGAGCTTTTCCAGTGGCCAATCACTTGGAACTGAAAGAGCACATCGCACTTTGATGACAAAACCAAATGGGTGCGAAAAGCCCAGATCTATTGCCATGAAGTTTTACCCTTTAGGCTTATGAAAACACGCTAGTTAAGGGTGTGATTGGTAAGTGTTACAAGCAAGCCTCACTCTATGCGGTTGTTAAGATGGGAAAAGGAAGGAAACATTTCAATATGAAATTGAATATGAAACTTCAGTATTCTTTTTCTGCTACTAAAAATGCTATATTTAGCATTGTGTTTTCTGTGGACCAATATCTTCTTGTTTGTAAAATGACAGTTTATCTGATGGGAAAATACGGTCACAGTAAAGGTTTATTCATGGACGGAAGAAAATCTGCTGTAATCCCCTACTTTACCTCTAGGAGGAAGCAAAACTATTAAAATTAGTTTCTGCTGCTGTTATTTTAGTAAGTCTTATGATTTACTTATTTAATTGGTTCCTTCTGGATTTTTCTTATACACCATGATGTTCACTTGATTTCTGCTTCAGTATAATGAAGAACAATCACAAGCACTTCATGAGATTAAAGAATTTAACTGGGAAAGAAATCAAATTTATGCAGTCAGTATGTACAGTGATGATTCTTCTTTATAAAATTCTCTGTAGCTCTCTGGTGGTCATCCATTCCTGTCTTATCAGTGCTGCAAGCTGATCACAGGCTGTTCACTTGCTTCTTAAGGACTGACTGACTAGATTAAGATTTGGGGAGTTTTCTGGCTGTAAATGTTAATTTGATGATCACCAAATCACTTAGTTATAACTTCTGCCTTGTGACATGTTGCTCCATCATACTGGAAAATAGACAGATCACCACTACATTACTTCTGGATTGTTGAAAGAACTTTTGCACCATTCTTAGTTCATGACAGTGTTTTGGGGCAGAATTGTGACTGTGCAGAATCCCATGGATGAGAAAAAAACCACACACCTAGATAACCTCAGGATGCTTCACCATTGGCACAAATCATGGTAGCATTTACCTTTCCTCTTTTGGACTGTCAATTTTTTTAGAATTCCTTAACAGTCAGAGACGGGCATCATCAGTGAAAACAACCTTCTACTTCTTCTACTGTCCAGTCCTTGTAGTCTGTGCAGCATTTCAGTCTTTCCTTGACGTTTTTCTTGGAGAGAAGTGGCTTCAAGCATCTCCTATTTTATAGAGAAGTCTGTGCTTTCAACTGATGCATGACATCAGTGGACTCACACTTTCTCTTGCGCTATAAGATGATACAGAGCTGCTGATAGCTCATCGTTTAATGCTAGGGCCAAATTGTCATTGGATTTTTCAGATGAAGTTTACTTTCACACAATGGAGCTGTTTACAGTTCATGAATATACTTTTGATCACCCTGCATTAACCTTTTGCAACAACTACAAGATATAATTGTTATGAGATGCGCCACACATACTATATGCAATATTACTCTAAAACACACAAAAAACATTTCTTTTCCATGTGACATTACAAATATGTAAAATAAACATCAATACAAATGTCTTTATACACAATGAAATTACACAATTTTTTCCATAAATGTGCAGAAATTGCTACTTTGTCCTGTATGAAAATCTTGAGGCACACATGGTTACATTGTATATTGCTAGGAAAATGGGAAATTGGTTGAAACCTATATGGACTCCATAGCATATAAGATGTTTGTGCAGTTCTAACAATATTTACTTTTATTCTTCAGTCCTTGAACTTACCCAAGCTTTCTTGCCATTTCTTTAAGCAGTGTTCAGCAATAGTTCTCCAGGCTTCTCGGAGGACACTTAAATCTCTTCTTTGGATGCTGGCTGTCTTATTCTGTCAGTCCTGTCATTACGATCCCACACTGCTTTATTAATGTGGAGGCTAGGCATTACATTGTGTGTTTTTCTAACTATAGCAATGGAAGAGTTTAAGAATCTGCAACTTTTCTGTGTGAAGTTGACCTTGTTGGATTAAACGCACTATGTTGTCTCTATTCTTGAAGGCCACTACTTACAAGAAGGCTTGCCCAGTCTTTCCAATATGCTGCATGTAGATTTTCGAGTTATCTTTTGCGCACTGTGTTCTAAGACAGTCTTTGGGCTTGCAGTCTATGTAGTTAAAAAAGAATTCCTTGTCTGTACTAGTGTTTGACCCCTTAGCAAAGGTAAATAAAATTCACTTCAACTCAATTTATCCTAGATTTCTACAACACCAGGTATGTTTTTATACCATATTTAAAAACGTTTAAAACACTGAGGTTTAGTGTATCTAAACACAATCCTTACAAACTTAAAGCTCAGGTGTCAAAGTGGAAAATGAGGATCCGCACTGAGAGACAGAAAATACAAA